TACTAATTTGATTAAAAATATGGGAAACGATTTTTTGGTTTTACACGCGCCATTTTGTATTTTTATTTTGTTTTGTGAGTTTTGTGTGCATCAACAGTATGGTGAAATTGCAGAAAAACATTGACGCCACTGATGTCTGTTGCGGGCCATGACGTCTAATGTTTCCAACCACTGCGATTCAGCATCTCGTGGTCCCCAACCTGGAAGGCGGACTGGTCCGACTGCCGCCAAATTGAGGTTGCCTTCTTCATACTCCTTCTCCACGTCATCGGCTGTCCACCGCGGCACTTTTTCCAATCGCTTCCTGGGAGTGCAAATAGCGCTCGACGTGGAAGGCGATGGGCTGGCGTGCGCAGAACGCGCCCGAGCCAACGCATGCGATATCGGAGAATAACGTCCTGAAGACTGGCACTATACGCCCCAAGCACGCGGTCTCGCACCTCTGCGTTGGTTACGTGGTGTTGCCACCACACCCGAGCAATCCTTCGTAGACAGCGATTGTCGAAGACTGACAGCCGCTTCATACCTTCCTTGCGAATAGGCCAAGTCTCACAGCCGTACAAGAGTACTGCACGGATGGAAGCATTGTACACCCTGCCCTGGGCTTGAGACTGACATCACCACGACGCCATAGGTGTCTCAGTTTGATGAATGCAGGGTGGGCCTTTGCAATCCGTTGTGAGACATCATCTCCAACACTGCCACCAGCCGTGATGCAACTCCCTAGATAAGTAAAACAAAGGACTTGCTCCAGAACATGTCCAGCAATGGTGAGCGCGGGTTCAGGCACCTGCCAGTCCTGGAGCAGCGTTTTACATTTTCCCGGAGTGAAGCATAAGCCGTACTTAGACGCCTCCATCGGCAAGCGGTTCAAAGCACTCTGGACGGATTGTGGGTCGCCCCCAGTAAGGCGATATCATCGGCGTAGTCCAAGTCCGTGACTCTGTCTCCAGGGAAGAGCTCAACACCGCAGTCCTGGACAACTTCCAGTGCTCTTTGGAGAACATCGTCGATGGCGAAATTGAAGAGGAAAGGTGAAATAGGGCAACCTTGGTGAACACCGCTGGTCACAGCAAATGAAGAGGAGTGCGTGCGGTAAGCCCTAACTTTGCCCGACGTGTGAATGTAAAGTACTTTCAGGATGGTTACAAACTTGTCGGGCACACCTTTCTTCAGTAAACAGTTACACAAAGCAGATCTATCTACTGAATCGAATGCCGCTTGGATGTCCAAAAACACGACGAATGTTGGCCACCGGTGGATGTGACGAAGTTCGAGAACTTGCCGAAGCGTGAAGATTTGGTCGATGCAGTCGCGGCCTGGACGAAATCCGGCTTGTACTTCTCGGCGAAACTCCTGTCTAGTCGTTGAAAGCCTGCAATGTAGGACCGAAACGAAGATTTTGGATGCGACAGAGATTAGGGAAATTCCGCGGTAGTTGCAGCAATCGGCGCGGGAGCCATTATTGTGAATCAGAACAATGACCGATTCTCCCCATGATCTTTGATCAAAGGCTCGGGGTAGGGCCCTCTAAGACAACCCTCTACTTCGGCCTGCGCAACCGGGTAGTATCACGCCCACTGACGAATCATGGACCACACCGCTTACTACTGCTACTACTATGCCTATCTTCTGTGCTAACTCAACCGCCCAACCTCCACTCACAGATCACCCCACCTCACGTCCTTCACCCACATGTACTCTTATGTCTTCTACGGTCACCGTCACAAACGACCCACGTCTCGCAGCTGATGGAAGTAACAGCCAAACTCCCGGTTTTCAATGTCCTCCGATCGCAACTGCCTCTCACTACACCGAAGCTCCAGCTCTTCTTCGACCTGGTTATCCATTCCTCCTCGCAGCGTTTAATGTTCAAACTTTGACGCAGATCGGACGACAAGCATGTCTGGCCCGTACTCTTGAAACGCTTTCGCTAGACATCTGTTGCCTACAGAGACCAGATTACAAAACTCTAGCGCCGTCATCAGAATCGCCTCTCCGGTAAACTCTGACGCCAAATACTACTTGCGACTTTCCGGAGACCCAGAAGCTGCCGCCACTGATCAAGCTGTTGTTCGGGTTGTACTAAGTGCCAGGGCTGAATCAGCTCTGTTTGACTGGATCCCAGTCAACAGCCGACTATGTGCAGTCAGACTAAGAGGTTCATGTAACGTAAGCAGGCGTCGAGACGTTAAGCGTGTCTTGTTTGTCGTCTCCGCCTACGCCCCTACAGACTGCAGCCCGGATGCAGTTAAAGATAGCTTTTACCAACAACTACATGAATTCTGCGTTCCTCCAAAAGGACGGATATAGTCATTCTTGCCGGGGACATTAACGCACGGGTTGGCCGCCTTCCACCAAGCGAGCACCACCTTGGGGGTAGTTATGGTCTCGGTGGTAGTCGATCAGACAATGCAGACAGACTGCTTGCTCTTTGCTCTGATCATCGCTTGTTTCTTTCGAGCACTAGTTTTCGGCACTCGAGGAGACACATTGCTACCTGGCACCCGCCCTCAAAAACGCAAGAGTGCTTCCAGCTTGACCACATAGCAATTAGCTACAGATGGCGCGGAAGCGTAACGGACTGCCGATCGTACTGGTCAACTTTTCTAGACTCCGATCACGCATTGGTTCGTGCTAAGATTTGCATGCGTTTCGGAGGATCACCTAAGCGCGCTCACTACCGACCGGACGTCGCGAATCTACAAAACGCTGCGATTTTAACCAGGTACCAAGCCTCACTGTCAACCTTGCTTGGCTCAACTATTGACCGTGATCTTGATTCGCAGTGGGCGCATATCTAAGATGCGTTAGTTTCGGCCAGTATCGGCACTTGTGGAGTTACCCGTCACCCACCGAAACATTGGATTTCCGCCGACTCCTTGTCACTGATGGACAGACGCCGCTTGCCCCCATCGGATTCCAGACACATTGAAGAACGCCAATCCCTCGGTCAAGAGTTGCGCAGCAGTCTGCAAATGGACCGCGAAGCTTGGTGGTTTGAACGTGCTAGGGAGATGGAGCTTGCTAGTCTCTGTGGTAATACCAGAAAACTCTTCCATCTCATTCGAGTCACCGAAGGTGTTCGGTCTGGTATAAGTGAAACAATATGCGAGGAGCATGGCACATTATTCACCAATCTTCAACGACGGTTGGAGCGATGGGTCGAACATTTTGGCTCGCAGTTTTGTTGGCCCCCAGCTCCATCTGCTACCACTGACGCTCGCGCTGGTGCCGAGTGGTCTACCCCAACAGACCCTCCCTCTTCCCAGGAAATCGAGCGGGAGCTCCGGCACATTAAGCGTTATAAAGCCCCCGGCCCTGATGGTCTTCCTCCGGCTCTATTTAAAGATGGTGGTGCATCGCTGGTCCGAGAACTCACCGCTTTGTTCTCGAAAATTTGGTCGAAAGAGAAAGTTCCGTCATCTTGGGGTGATTCGATAGTCGTCCCCATCTTCAAAATGGCCTGCGCACAATCTGCTCCAACTGCAGAGGCATAAGTTTAGTCCCCGTCGTTTGTAAGCTGCTGGTGTCCATCTTACTTCGCAGGCTATCCCCAACGCGCGAAACGTTGCAACAAGAAGAATAAGCTGGGTTTCGCCCTGGTCGCGGCTGCATCGATCAAATCTTCACACTTCGCCAGCTTCTCGAGCTCCGCCATGTGTATCAAAGGCCAACGATTGCTGTGTTCCTGGATATTCGTGCAGCCTTCGATTCTGTCGATCGTACAGTACTGTGGCATTGCCTACTGAGGAATGGTGTCCCCGAGAAGTTCGTCTCCATGCTGCGCGCTCCATATAGTCTGACCTCGGGCAGGGTTAGGGCTTATGGCATGCTTTCGCCTACCTTTGTGGTCTCCAGTGGAGTTCGACAAGGATGCCCTATCTCTCCGTTCCTATTCAACTTTGCCATTGAGGATGTCCTGAAGAACGTTCTGGGCGATTCGTTGAACACTGGCTTTGAGCTCCTCCCAGTCGAGTTGTTGATTTGGATTATGCTGATGGTGTCGTCTAGCTGGGTGCCGATCCACACGTCGTCCAAGTTGCATTAAACCGCTTGGCGATTGAAGCATCAAAGTACGGTATGTACTTTTCGCCATCCAAATGCAAGGCTCTCTTCTAAGACTGGCAGGTGCCTCTGCCTGTACTCACGCTTGCTGGTGTGATACTAGAGGTTGTGGAGAGCTTTGTCTACTTGGGAAGTTGCATCACTGCTGGTGGGGCTGTTGGAGACGAGATTTCAATGCGCACCTCGCGAGCAGGCCTCGCTTTTTCTAGGCTGAGGTATTTGTGGCGTCGCCACGACATTCGTCTCTCCATCAAAGGGCGGGTCTATTGTGCAACTGTTCGTGCTGTACTGTTGTACGGATGCGAGACCTGGCCCATTCGTAAAGATGAGTTGCGCAGGCTATCCGTCTTCGAGCACCGCTGTTTTCGGTCCGTTGCCCGTGTGTGGTGGCAGCACCACGTAAGCAATGTGGAAGTTAGACAGCGTGTCTTGGGACGTGGAAGCCACTCGCTCGAGGAGCTCGTCTCACTGCATCAACTGCGGTGGTTGGGGCACGTATTGCGCATGCCTGTCCAGCGTTACCCCGTCGTGCGTTGTTTGCACTTGCTGGACAGGGCTGGAAGAGACGGTCTGGTGGACAGCCTATAACATGGAGAAGCCGCATGAAAAAGCTGACGAAACAGTTGGCCTCGGCCGGTTGTTGTCGACTACCTGGTTGGGATCCGAGAGACGCGGATACTTGCTGGTTGAAGACCTTGGAAGCCATGGCTCAAGATCGATGTCAATGGCGGACGTGTGCATCGGTTTGTTGCGGTGTCCCTTCTTCCTCCCCCTAAAAAAGAACAAACGGAAAAAATTTCAAAAACTGTAAGTGGTACAATAGACAAAAAAGCATTTGTTGTTGCTCTTTTCTTAGTATGCATATTGTTTTCCTATTCAGCCATGATTCCGATGGCACAATATCTGTTTCACAGATTATATATATATATATATATATATATATATATATATATATATATATATATAAGGAACACTTACGGGATTCATCCTATCGTTCCAGTCCCACTTGAACTTGAACTTGAACCTGTGTTAGATAAGCATTCTAACCCTGTCGAGTGTAAATATTTTGTCGTTCATTAAGGCCCGTCTATTCTCAGCTTTAAAGTTGTGTAAGCGCTTAAACTAAGTGTCACATTTCTGTCATACACTGACACTCAAATTCGTGGTTTACTGCACGATTGTTCAGTGACATCTGGTGGAATGAAAATCCCACCTGTTACTTTGGATCTAGCCGGTGATCCTGCTTCCTGTAAACGTCGTATACTTTCATTTGGACTAAGGGATTCTGTTCGCAAGATATTTTTGTCTCTCTCTCTGAAGCAGGTAATATTGTCTTAGTACAAAGTTCACGATGGGTCACACCTATTGTCACACTGATAAAGCTGGATAGACAATGACCGTATAGTTACACTGCCGACTTTGAGGTCAGCCATTCTCACGGATTTACATTCTGGTCATTTGGTGTTAAAAAGATGACGTTTTTAGCTCGATACTTTCTACTGGTGGCCGGAATTAAATGCAGTTATTCGACGAACTGCATCTGATTGCCCGAAGTGTAAACACATGATTCTACAGCATCCGTCCAAGTGCACACTATGGCGGATGACATGCGAGCCCTGGCAAAGGATCCATATGAAGTACGGTGGACCATTTCTGCAGAAGTACTATGCACTTGTGGTGGTAGACTCTTATTCAAAGTGACCGGAAATATTCCTGCCTGATAAACCAAATGCTGCATTAACTGTCTGTGCCTTGCGAAAAGTGTTAACTAGCGAAGAAGTCCCATTAGCTGTTGTAACTGTCAATGGCTCACACTTTTCGGCTTCAACTGTTACCAATTGGCTGCAGAGACTTGGGTGACGTCACCTTTTTACTGCTCCACGACATCTATGCTCTAATGCCTTACTTGAAAAACTTATTACAACTTTACAACGTTTGGTTACCTCCTGTGCTCCTACTTCCTTTAATGAACTTGATCGCTGTGTTGATACCTATCTTCCGAATCAAGTAGCAAACGAGGTATCATGGACCCATCAAAAAAGCGAGTAACTGCCGACCTCCCATCGGTCGGCATTCTCCCACACTTGACAGCTCCACCTCTCTGCGGGCTCCTAGAGACTGAGAAACTGACCTGCTTGTATACAAATGCTCAGGGACTTTCTAACAAACTGGCTGAACTGAAAGATCGCCAAGCTTCCGGCTCGTATGATGTCATTGGTATCACCGAGACATGGTTGCACACGGGAATGACGGACGCTGAAGTGTCGCTACCCGGCATGTCGCTGATCCGGAACGACAGGCTCACAAAAGGAGGAGGGGTAATCCTGGACTACCGAAACGACTTACAGTGCGAAGCCGTGGAGGATTCAGACTCGCAGTTCCCCGACTCTCTTTGGTGCCGGTTGCAGTTAAAAGGCAGGGATGCTTGCCTTATCGTCTTGGTGTACCGCGCCCCTAACTCAACACCCGAAACCGACTACCACCTAACGGCTGCTTTAAGGTGCAGTTTACAACAACAGTACACTCACATTCTTATCATGGGTGATTTCAACGTACATTGTTTAGAAGCCCCTGCCACGATCGGAGAACAATTCAAAACTGATCTACAAGATCTAGTAACTACTGTTCCTCTTTACAACTACATCACTTTGCCCACTCGGTTCAGAACAGGTAACAGGCCATCTGTGCTGGATCTTGTGCTTACCAACGAGGAGCATATGATTGATGCGTTGGTTTTAGACTGCCCGTTGGGTCGCAGTGATCACGCAGTCATCAGTTTCAACTTCGTTTGCTATGCAGAATATCTGAATAATAACGATGATACTGTGCGAACGATCACAAGGTACGACCGACTCGCCCATCTAGTCAGCGCCACAACATGGTCTTTCCTCGAAGAAGAACCCCCGGAAGTCGCCTGGCTCGAGTTCGTCAACACATTCAGTCAGCTGATTGCACAGGCTTCAGAGATAAAAGCTTGCAATAAGTGCAAATCAGTTTCTTTCGTTAGGAGCAGAACCCGAAAATGGATGACAGTACGCAACGCAGCATGGCGAGTGTACAGAGAAGCTCCAGCACCAGAAACTTGGGACAACTACGTAGCCCAACGTAACCACTGCACTCAACTGTTAAGAGAAGACAAAGCCACCTATCAGCAGAACATCGCAAAAGCCTTCAGTGCTAACCACAAACTGCTGTACAAGCACGTTAATAGCCTACGAAAGGTGAGGCAAGGATTTCCTCCACTCAAGACGGCTGATGGCCCAACAAGAACGTCTATGGAAGCTGCAAACGCGCTGCAGATGCAATACGCCCCCACGTTTCAAAGAGTCTTGCCACCAAGCGATCTACCAAGCTTTGTATTCTGCTCACCAGGACTAACCCACATCAATTTTACCGCAGAGGCTGTATTGCAAAAGCTGACTTCTCTACGCAAACACAGCTCGCCGGGTGTCGACACCATTCGTCCAGAGGCATTGGGAGCAGCAGCAAACCAACTGGCAGGACCTTTAGCTCAGTTTTTCCAGCACTGCTTAGACCAGAACCAAGTTCCCGCCATGTGGAAGCTTGCAATAATAAGCCCGATTCACAAAGGTGGAAGCAGAACTGATCCCTCCAACTACCGCCCAGTAACCCTTCTTCCTATACTCTCCAAGGTCATGGAATCCATAGTTGCCGATGCACTGATGTGCTATCTGGAAAACTGCAACCTCATCACTCCTGAACAGCACGGTTTCCGTCGACAGCGTACTGCGAGTACGCCTGACGGCAGACGTAAAAGCGAAGTTCTGACACTTTGCTTGATTTCTACGTGCATTCTCAACGGATCGCTGACTATTATATACCATTTAATCCCGTTTTGCGTCCTCTTTCCAAAATCGGAACAAGTGCTGAAGGATATCTGACGGTTCTCACAAAAACTTTGCAAAACCTTCTCCAAATCACTCCGTGCTCCGCTCTGCAGTGGTTTTTTTCTTACACATCTCAACGTACATCAACCAAATTCCAATCATTCGGCTCGGAATTACCAGCTCTATTCAACAACCACTTCGCCAGCTCCATACCATCGCAATCTACAACTCTTGGCGGTACTTTGCGCCATATTCCCTAATACGACCAGCAAATCCGCTTACCCACTATCGGACCAAAGCTACAGTGCATTTGAGAAGAGTCTTTCGTTTTTGCTCAGTCGCCGCGCTGTTCAGGGGTAGATTGGAACGAACTAATTTGCCGACCCACCAATGGCATGTAAGTCAACTGTATTTACTCACCCACGCATGTCTGGGGGTGTGAATACGACGTGCGGACGCATTGCGGTGCATGTGTCCTTGAAATATGTTAATGACCCTTGTCGAATTTGACACCGGCCAGATCAGATTGGGTCGATGCGGACGTTTTTGGCTGGTGGTTTGCAACATCTCGACAGCAGTGCATAATGCACTGGCTACCGTGTTCAAATGTTGATGGCGCTTCGATAGTTGCTTACTGTTATCCCAGCAAATGATAAAAGGGTTAGTGACAACGCTGTTGTAGACTGAATGTTACCTTCACATAAACCCCCTTAGCAAAAT